AAAAAAAAAAAAAAAAAAAAAAAAAGGTGGGGTGGAGGAAGGTTACTAGTAAAGCCCAACTGCCCTTTTACCGAAGGAGAACTGAGGAGAAGGGAAGAAGGTGGGAGCATATATTCGCTTCTCAGGAACCCAGCCCCATTGGGGGCCATACCTCTGATGCCCGCGTCCCTACCCCCATCCCAGGCTTTCTGGAAGGGCGGGCACCAGGCTGACACATCGAGGTCTCTTGTTCGCAAGGGTTCTTGTAGCGGGAGTATGCCCTGGCCGAGGATGCTGAGAATAGCAGAAGCCCATTCCAAGCGGAGGAGGCCTCTTGGCCCCTCAGTTTGCACCCCAGCTCGACCCCACCCCTCCCTCCAGTTATGCCAGTGCACCCGCTCCCAGCCCAGACTGGGGCTGCGGATCCCACGAAAGGCTGGCGAGCTGCATGACACTGGGCGCCGGTGCCCTCGGCCCTGAGGGGGGCGGGGGCAGGGGCGGTATCTCTATATACACAATTGATGAAGGAGATTGCGGCCCAGAGAGGGGCAGCTACTCGCCCAAGGTCACACAGCCAGGCCCAGTATGCACGTAGACCTCCCGCCTCCCATCCCCGGACTCTAAAAGCCCTACGCGCGCGTCCCGGCTCTCGAACCATCTGGGTGCAGTCACTCCCTCCCCCCAAGCTACACACACGCCCCAGCCCCCTTACCTCTGGAACCCCAGTGGCCCCTGCCTCAGAGTCAGCTCCTGGGCGGGGCGCTCAGGCCGGGCAGGACCAGGCTGGGCCAGGCTAGGTCAGGGCGGGTCCTTTGCTTCCCCCAGAGTGGAGACGCCCTCCGCCAGGTCCCAGACGGCAGGGATGCTGCTTCCACTGAAAATCCCAACCTCTCCACCCGCTCTGCACAAGTCTGGAACAGGGGAGCCCAACTCAGCGGCGCGGCCACTGGGCTGCGGGACGAAGTGGGGGGGAGGGGCGAGGTGCGGGAAACGGGGCGGAGCCGGAGCGGGGGCCACCCCGCGAGCAGCCACTAGGGCCGCGTCCCCTTTAAGGCCAGCCGGCCTAAACGCTGGCGGGGGCGGGGTGGGAGCTGGACGGCTAACTGCAATGCCTCCTGGGAGATGGAGTTCGAAGTCGATGCGCCGAGCTGCAAAGAGCCCATGGAGGACTACAAGTTCCCGAGCGCAGCGCGCGGGTCCCGGGCCGCCGCGCCCCTAAGCTGGGCTCCGGCCCTCCGCCCCCCTCGCAAAGCTGCGCTGGCCGCCCGCGGAGGGGAGGTTGCCGAGCGAGGGCAGGAGGTGGGTTCGCCGCGGCCGGGGGCACGGGGCGCAGGGACTGCTGGTGAGGGAACGGCCCACCTGGGCACCTGTCCTACCCCGAGAGGTCATCTAGCCTACCCTAGCCTCGCCATTCTCATCTGTGCAATGGGGATAGCAACGCCCGTGGCTTGGGGGGAGGGGACGTTTATGGAGAAGAAGGGGCGGAGCGGGTGGAAGCCTGGATGGCTGGTGATAGTAAGAAAAGCCCGGATAATAAGGGCCGAGACTGGGGGAGGAGTCTGGTGGGTGGGGCATGGAGGGGCGGGGTCTCTAGATAAGGAGAACACGCGTGAGATCGGAGAAGGGGCTGCAGAGTGGATGCTGAGAAAGCCAATGAGGCAAGCCTGGGATGGATTGGGTGGAATGGGCCGAAAAGCATTGGGGAGGGAGGGGTGGAGACGCAAAGATGAAAAGGATCCCTCTCGGCCCTGGAAAGCCCAGTGTCAGCAGCGCTGATATGGTTTGTGTAAGAGGTTGCCCGAATGGGTAAATGCCTGTGGATGCACAGAACACCTTTCTTTCCTTGTGACTAGAAGAGCCCATCCCATGAATTCTGCGTCATATGGGTTCATTCAATTCACACCCTGTGAAGACGGCACCATATCTCTTTACAGTTGAGGAACCTGAGGCTCAGAGAAGTAAAGTGACTTGCCTAAAGCCACCCAGGATTCCTTACTCCAAAGAGCCCGCTTTTTTTCCCTGCACTGGACGGAGGTAGAGGTTTAATCTGTAGTGAATGGCAGGGAACAGACGGAAGTGTCCATGTGCTGCCCTTAACAGGTTGTGTGACAGGACCATCTTCCTCAACCCTTCTCAGTGCCAACCTAAGGCAACCCTCCTATGCTTGTTAGGATGAAATGAGGCGATGGGTTTGAAAGCCATTTGTTTATAAATTTTCCTTGTTGTGAGGAACAGGAAGACCATAAGGAAGAGTGGTCAAAATGAGGTGCTTGGGTCTGAGGAAAACCACAAGGTGAAGCCTGAGGGTGAGTCAAGAGGATGAAGGAAAATTCTGGAAGAGGGTGGGAGATGGTGATAGTTATTGGAAGTCTGCACCAGATGAAAGAATACTTTGCTGTGCAAGCCAGGTCAGGTGGCTTCCCTTCTCCAGCCCACTTTTCCCAGTTGGCCAACTCCTTTAGGGGTCCATGTGTGTCACCTGAGTCTGGGAAGCACCTTTTCTCTCTGGTGTGGGCATAATAGAGCAGCCTGTGAGTGTCTTAGAGATATGAACTGGGCAAAACAGGGCTAAAGATACAGCTCTTGGGTGTTGGGGGAGGCCAGGAAGGATGGTGCCCCCAGACAGTCCCCAGGGCTGTGAGCCAGAGTCTTTATCTGGTGGCCTGTGTAAGGTGGGGAAGACGGCTCCAGTTTATTGGGAGACACATTACTCACTTGAAGTGTTGTCATCCTTGAAATTTACACAACTATGTTCTGTCCATCCCCTACACAGTAGGAGTTCTGATATTTACTTCCACGTAATTACCTGGGCCTTGCCCTGTGCCTCAGATTCCAAATTAAAAATTCAAGAGCAGGACTTCCCTGGTGGCGCAGTGGTTGAGAGTCCGCCTGCCGATGCTGCGGACACGGGTTCGTGCCCCGGTCTGGGAAGATCCTACATGCTGCAGAGCAGCTAGGCCCGTGAGCCATGGCCGCTGAGCCTGCGCGTCCAGAGCCTGTGCTCCGCAACGGGAGAGGCCACAACAGTGAGAGACCCGCGTACCGAAAAAAAAAAAAAAAAAAATTCAAGAGACTATTTCAAAATAAAAAGTTTTAAAAATTCAGGAGAGATTGGTAAACCTCCCTATTGGTAGATGAGAGTCTGGGACTAGGAAAATGGATCTGACTAAATGGGAGGAGTTGTCCCCCTTCCCCTGCCTGCCTACCTCTTGGGGTACAGAGAGGGGAGATCCCTGTCCTAACAGGGTGGCCAGGCATCCATTTCCTTAAGGAAAGTGGGCCTTGGTAAGGAGTGAGAATAAAATGCTCTGCAGATGCAAAGAAGGGAAGAATGAATTGCAGCTGAGGGGCCTGGCAGATGACTGGCATTTTCTTTGCAGTGCAGGCAGAGGGATAGCAGATGCCAAACTGCAGAGATAGGAGAGGGCCTGGTGTGGTCTATAAAGTAGGGATAATAATAAGCACCTTCATCTATGAGATTAACATGCATAAAGTGCATAGCACAATAGTAACTGCTCAGTAAATGTCAGCCATTTTTATTACTAATGTTGTTGTTGTTGTTATGAGCACCATCATATGCCCAAGAATTGGTCTAGGGCCACACAGCTAATAAAGGGGCAGAGCCTGATTCAAACGTAGGCCCAGGTGATGCCAAAGCCCATGCACTTTCCTCTCCCCACAAAGCCCCTACAGTTCTTTCTACCCATCCACATCTTTGAGGCCCAGAAGTGGCCCCTCTTTGTTAACATTCTTGGTAAGCCATGACAGGAGTTTCTTTTCTGCTGTAGTAGCAGAGACTCTGGATTCGGGAGAAAGCAGGGGAAACAAGTCCTAAACAGCCATCTTCTCCCAGCCTGGATCTCGGCATGGAGACAGGCAGGCTTAGTGTTGTGGTTTCTGTGGGGGGTTTAGTCTATGTAGAAAGACCACTCGGATTTAAATTCTAACCCCTCCACCGACTGCGGGCTATTTTAGCTAAGCCCTTGGCTTCCTCCAGAGCACTGAGACATCAGGAGAAGATCATGAGATGTTAATGCTTCTTAGTAGTAGTAATAACATCTAATATTTATGGAATCTTGCTATTTATTGGGGCCAGGCACACTGACTGGAACTTTAACATCTACAGTCCCAGGAGGCAAGTGTTCTTTTCTTGCCCCTTCCTTCAAAATAAAAATATTTTTAGAATTTTCAAGCCTACAGACACGTTTAAAGAATAGCCTTTCACCTAGATGCACCGATTCACATTGCCAATTTTGCTTTTACACACACACATTTTTTGCTAAGCTATTGAAAAGTTATAGGCATCTCCACAGTTGGCCCCTAAATTCTTCAGCATGTATCTCCTAATTATAACATTTTGCAACATAACCATAACACCATTATCATACCTAAGAAAATTAGCAAGAACTCAATATTGTCTAATAAACAGTTGAGATTCAAATTTCTCCAACTGCCAAAAAAAATCTCATTTTTTTAAAATCAGATACAGTCAAGATTCATTCATTGCATTTAATTATATCTCTAAGCAACTCATTTAATCTAGATAAGAGCCCCTCTACCTGTTTAAACTTGTTTTATAAATAATTGGGTTCAGTTTGGTTTTTTGTTTTTGTTTTTTCTGGCAATGTTGTGTACTTATTGAATCACATTAGGAGGCATATGATACCAGAGTCCTACTATCCATGAATGCTCTTTGATTATTGAATAAGGTAACAGCCTGATCTCTCTATAAAAGGGTAAGTTTTTCCCTCTTGTAAAGAAAAAGTAGTCTGTAGAGTGATTCTTTGAAACTGTCTGAATTATGTGTCCAGGATAACCTTTCACTCCACATCTGTTGATGATCCTTGCCAGAATAGCAACATTGAGGGTTTCAAAATGGTAATTTGCTAATTATGTCATTCTTTGGATACTTATTAGCTGGTATTCTTTGTTACAGAATAACTTTTTCTGCGTGTGTGTGTGTGTGTGTGTGTGTGTGTGTGTGTGTGTCTGTGTCTGTGTGTGTCTGTCTTCCTCATTCCCTCTCCTGTCCCTCTCGTTTTTCTTTTTGGAGTAACATAGACTCATTATTTTTTTTAACTCAATGTGTTATAACCTATTATCATCATTAATCTTTTTGGTGTTCACATTATCCCAAATTTGGCCAATGAGAGTCCCTTCAGGTCTGCTCCTGTGTTTTGGTTTTTGTTTTGTTTTGTTTTGTTTTTTGGGGGGAGATATAATTGACATATAACATTGTATTCATTTTAGGTGTAAACATGATTTGATATGTGTATATATTGCAAAATGGTCACCACACATAGTTACAAAATTTTTTTTTCTTGTGATGAGAACATTTAAGATCTGCAGATCTGCATTCTTTTGACTTCACCTCAGTAATCTTTGATTTCTTCTTTGCTGTCTGGAAAGAGATGTTCCAGGCTCACCTTAAACTTTTCCTGTCAAAGTGCTGGAAGTACTGGAATCATCAGTTCCTCCAGGAAGCCCTGGTTTCTTTTTGTAGGAGAGGACGTTTAAAAAACAAGATCTGGGGTCAGGTGTGCTCATTGCTACTCGGGTATCATTGCTAGGCTCTTGAGCAGACCTAAGAAATGATAGATGGATGGATGGATACATAGATAGATAATTATCTATGCCTTGTAGATTCATTATTAAAACAATTGGTCCTCACTGTGTAAAAGGAGTAGATTGCATGTAAAATAGCTTCATTATGGAAGCTCAGTGAGCAGTATTGTAGGGAATTGCACAGAAAGAGCCCTTGCCTGTGCTAAGGCTCTGTGAGTGTATGGGCTGTTGGCTAGGACCTATGTGTCTGGGTTCAGTCTCTTGCTCAGGACCCAGGTTAGAGAGGACCCCAGGCTGCCTCTAAAGGACTGGTCCTCTGAGTAGTGTCCAAACCTGGAACCTCTCAGAGGCTGTGACTCAGAGGTCAAGAATGGACACAAAGCCCTGGGCCAGGGACTCATCTTCCTTGGTTTATGAAATAAAGATAATGTGATCTGTCCTGCCTGCATCCCAGAGTTGTTGTAAGGATCAATATATATTTACTTTTTAAAATTACTAATCAGTCTTTTCAATACATTTATTACAAAATTCCTTCCCCTTTTCATTGTCTTAATACCATAGTTCATTGCCTTATAGTCTAATTTCCTACATAAAACTAAGATATATTATGCTTTTTCAAATATTCTTTCAGGTTATCACTCACCAATTTTTCCAAAATAAGATTTTAATCTTCTTTTTTAATCTTTTGAAAAAATACTTTTGGGAGTTGGACTAGGATAGCATAACAACTGTAA